ACTCAAACTCACGCTATCTAGTGTTCACCTGTCATAAAAATTTGCCGGTTAAATTGAGTCGATTCCTTTGTGTGCCCCAAGAAACTTGTCCTAAAGTGATTACCATTCTCTTTTCCATGGAAAAATGTATAATCGTTTGCCTGTTCAATGTACCTTCCTGTATTCACTATACACAATGCCCTTTTACTTATATTGGCATTCATCAACCTAGTTAAGAATTATTACATTGCCAGACTGGAATCAGGACATCGAATCTCTGTCTTTCAGAACTGTTAACGAGATTGCTACCTTTTTAAATAGTAATATGTATGCAGTATAGTTTTAAAAATATTATAACAGATTGAGGGTTTATTCCTTGTTTTTAACGACGCTTTTAAGTTGGTTAGATTTTCGGCTATGACATCAAAGAATACAAAGATTTGTGGATAATGAATTGAAAAAAGATTGTGAAGGAAAGCAGTAGTTGCGTACTTTAAGATGCTATCGTGGTATTTCCGTGGAAGGAGTGTATAAAATCGCGAAGGGCCTCAGAATTACAGGTCTCAGGGTCGATATTTGAACCCGGAACTTTGAGAATACGAAACCGCTAGTCCGTAACAATCGGTGAATCAATTGACTGAGGATACACAGATAGCAACTTTTTCACTATAGTTTCTATGTTTTGGTTAAACTGGTTACAGACCACAGATTAGTACCTCGTGTCTGCTTGGGACCCTTGACGCATTCTCAAAATTGAGTGGCCTAGAATCGATCTAGCCGAGGTGCAGAAGTGAGTCAGCCAATTCCTTTCTAACCTTGACCGTTATTAAGACGCATTTGTGTTGCGGTGTGCCGTCAAAGTTTCTTCAGCTATAGGACAGAAAAAGAGTGAAGGTATTTGCAGACGTCGTGTCGTCGGAAGCATTCGGGCATCTTCGTCTTTTTGTTCGGTGGGGTACATTCAACACACACTTACCTTAGGTTTATCAGTTGCAGGCGGCTCCGGACGGCGCCAGACGTGTGTTTAGGATGTTCACTGCGATCAATACACAATGCAACGAAACTACCGACATCTGATGCAACGAACTGCGTTTAACAATGGACTGCATTCCATTGTTTAATCTCGAAACGTTAATCTTTTGTTTTGTTGCCTCCATGATGTAAAATTGCCACGAAAAACTAACGGAGGCACTTAACACAACCTGTTGAAACTGACATCAAGGCTATCGACAATCAACACCCGTGTTTGAAGAAAAACCAGCTGAATGTTATATCAGAGCAATTCACTGCCGTCTGGATTATTTATTACTGCTTCTGGGGAGTGGAAGGACAAGATCTGGAAGCCTTCGGAAGACATTTTATTAAGTGAAGTTGAAAGACTGCTTTTGTGACGCGTTTTCATTGCATTGTGTGCTAATTGCTTTGTATGTTCCGTCACCACAACCATTCCGTCTTATTGGCTATGCGAATATTAGTCGCAATTACCACGTGCTCAGAATTGATGAGGTCAAAATTGAGTGTATTTAATAATTTATGAATGTAACTAACGCCATCTTTCTTATTCAGTGAAATATTTCACCTGGAATGAGAGTGAATCTTAGATTTTTCTGAGGTCTGTTTAATTATAGAAGAATGAACCAGTTTTCATATTTACGCCTGAAACATTGAACTGGTTCAGATATTTAACCGATATTATGTGCGGCTTTATATATGTGAATACCGAAGATATATTTAATTTTAAAACAAATTGAATTTATTTAATTTGACGTTAAGCAGTAGGTTCTGGGGTTACGTGCAGGTTAAACAGTATGTCCACATTCTGCCGAATTACAGGGAGAAGCCGTGGGCTTCCCAAATCGAACTACTTCCCACTATTGCCGCCCATTTCCCCTGCAGATGCAAAGCGACTTTGCCGCATCACAGGCAAATCTTATGGCCTTCCCGGTCACCATTACATTCCTGTCACTCTAATCAGTAAGTCCAAGAAATTGCGCGGGAAATGCAAGATCACGAACAACGAAGCTGCTCATCAGTTTGTACCGAAAGTTGAGACTCGCGATAAAAGGAGACGCCATGTTGTTTTATGTGACTATCGCTATGTCTTGCCAGTAATGGAGGGTTCTTCTGATCACCAGAAGATAATGATGGAACTGCTAGCAACAAAAGATGGTCGCATGGTTTCATTTCCTGAAGATGACTCTCGTTTTGTGTACGTCGTGGAAGAACGAAGATGCAGCCTCGTGTTTCCATCGGCTCTGGAAGCAGCAGTCAGAGACGGCGACGTTCGTGATGTCATGCTGTCGAAAGATTCCGACACGGTTGTCTTCAAACTGAAAGAAGGAAAAGATATTTCGTTGGATTTCAAAAACGTTGAGCCAAAGATTGATAAAAATTCAGAACTATATGATGGAGAAGGCCCCAACGCAGATGTTGTAAGAGAATTAGAGAAGGAAGAAATTACCGCTAAAAAGAGAAAGAGGAAGTGTCCTGAAGCATTAGATAACATGAAGAAAATTTTTGAAGAGAAGGAGATAGAAGCAGATATTGAAATCAGAAGAGAGATTGAATTAAATGAACTGAAGAAGGCGAAGGTTGTAGAAAAGATGAAGGAAGAAACCGAAAAAGAAGTCGACCTGAAGGAGGAAGCCAAACCAGAAGAACAGAAGGACAAGAAGTTTGACGATACCATGACGGAAGAAGAGGAGAGAGCAATGTTGAATAATTGGAAGAGGTTCGATCCCAGATTCTCTCGCTCGGAGACAAGCCTCCTTATGTGCAGTGGGGACTGGAGGGACCTCATCAAGCCTCTCATAGAAGACTGGGACTGGGACGCATTTGAGAGCAAACCATGTGGCACCCCTATAATTACCTCTCTACCCGAACCGGCGTCAGTTCGTGCCCAGATATTGAACCTTGGCGAGTCACTACCAGGTATTGTTCAGTCACAGATTCTAGGTGAATTTGGAGAAACAGCTGGCTTTGAACCCATTCCATCTGTGGCACCATTTACCCCACTAATATCAGAACCAGAACCGGAAGTCCTGAATGCACTGATGGAGCTCAAGGATTCTGAAGCATTATTAAAAACGTCGGGTGTTAAAAAGGTGTTTGTTGAAGCAAAGGAGGAAGTGAAATGCATGGTACCAAAGGTTAATGAGATACCGGAACTAGTAACTCTAATTGAACATGGCATTATAACAGAACTGGGCGAAAACGGTCATAAAATTCAGGGACTGGTAGTTAATATGGACACCGCAAAGAGATTTGTGGTGGGTCAGACTGTAGAGACTTCTAAGGGACCCGTTTTTGTGCCAGGCCAAACATTGCAGACACCATCAGGACCTCAGTTTGTACCTGGTTTTACTGTTAAATCTCCAGGATCGGATAATCCTGTTCTAATACCAGGGCACAAGGTTCTAGTAGTCACAGAGGAGGGCGGAGGGAATACTGTGCCAGTGTTTGTAGCAGGCCAAACCTTAACTACAAGAGAAGGGGAAAGATTCGTTGCAGGTCAGACTGTTCATACGCCAGATGGATCGAGATTTGTGGCCGGCCAGACAGTAATAACACCGGATGGGCCTAGATTCATACCGGGCCAGCTGATTTTGGAAAAGGATATTTCAGTTGCTGAGAAAGAATTGGCCAGTGAGGGAATTGACGGTAAGGAAGTGACAAAAACGGACACAGAGAACATGTCCAAAGAACCTATAAAAAGTGCTGTCACGTCAGACTATAAGTTTGTTCCAGGTCAAACAGTTCTGACCTCTGACGGCCCCAAGTTTGTGCCTGGGCAGACTGTGGCAACGGCACAGGGCGAAGAGATATTCATTGCAGGTCAGAGTGTTCAGACGAAGGATGGGGTCTGGGAATTCATACCTGGTCAGACTGTGAGGAAGGAAGATAAGGTCAGGTTCGTGGCCGGCCAAACTGTTATGACTCCTGAAGGCCCCAAGTTCATTCCTGGACAGATAGCAAAGACGGCAGAAGGATGCCTGCAGTTTGTCCCTGGAGTAACTGTTGCAGAAAAAGACGGGGTCATTTCGAAGTTTGTGCCTGGGAAAGCTTTACAGACTCCAGACGGAATAAAGTTCGTGGAAGGCCAAATATTAAACAGTGCAGCTGGAGGAAGTACATTTGTTCCGGGGAAAGCTTTTGTTTCCGAAAATAATTGCATCGAATTCGCTGCGGCAAAGAAATTAGAAGAAGTAATATTGGATGAGGTTATTGAAGTTCCTCAAGAAGGGCTAAAAGCAATCAACCCGCGATCAGGTATTTCGTCGTCTTCCGTTTCAACTTTCTTTGGACACGTTGTGCAGACTTTGCACGGTGTGGAGTTCTTTCCCGGTCAAACTGCCAGCGGACTGCCAGCCGGAAAAATTGTGCCAGGAAAGCTACAACGCGCTACGGATGGTAAAGTTAAATTTGTTCCTGGTACTATTATTGAGACAGAACCTGGAATTGAGAAGTTCGTTCCGGGGCAGGTAGTGATGACAGAACAAGGGGAACAGTTTGTGCCAGGTCAGGTAGTGGAAACATCGGAGGGGGCAAAGTTTGTTCCCGGGCAAATAATAGAAACAAAAGCTGGTCAGAAATTTATTCCTGGTCAGACAATGGAGACCTCTGAGGGCATGAGATTTGTTCCAGGTCAGATTGTTGACACGAAAGCCGGGCCAACTTTCATACCGGGGCAAGTGATATCGACAGAAGAAGGTTCGAAATTTGTGCCCGGTGAGGTGCTGGATACTCCTGACGGACCTCGCTTTGTACCAGGACGGATTGTGGAGACTGAAGATAACAAAGTGAAGTTTGTCCCTGGACAGACTGTTCAGACGCAAGATGGCTCTTTGCGCTTTGTTGCTCACGATCTTCAAGATACCCCGGAAGGTGGTTTCGAATTCTCCGTGCAGGTCTTTGAAATAACACCAGAAGAACTGCAACTCCTGCGCCCCATGCCAGTGACCGCGTCGTACGGCCCCGCGAGTGAGTGGGAAATGTCTATTGATTCGCGAATGCTCTTAGATATTCCGTCTGTTGACGTCAAACCGAAAGGGGCTACAGTGGGTGGAGTGAATGGTATCTTGCACGAGGTGAATTTTAATAAGCTGGATATTCTAAAGGATATCCTGTCCGAACAGAACACAGAAGACAATATAATGGAGAAAATATCCGTTTTGTTGAAACAGAACGCTGAACCTTGCGGGAAAGAAGAAATTACGGCTGACACAAGAGAAGTAACATTAGAGTCGGCGTTCAAACATCTTTCTCATGGTAATCCGGACTTTGTGGAACGAGTTCTGCATAGAGTGTCAGAATATGTTGAAGATGCCAACGCAGAGGAAAGTGCGACGGAAACTTTGCGGAAGGCAATTGTTAGTGTTGTTCAGGAGCGTAGCGAGCAGCGGATACGAGAAATGATTCAGGAAGAAGCTTTAGGTGAGAAGGACGAGGACCTCGATCAGGGAGGTCTGAGAGGACTTTTGATGCAGGCAGCAGGCCTAGCACGTGCCCTTGGTATGTCAGACGTTGTAGCTGATCTCGTCGAAGTCCTTTCTGATCCCCAGTCTACGCAGGTTCTAGCCAGTGATCGTCTTACCATGGCCATTCTGCGTCGTCTCACAGTTATGCGTCAGTTGGCAGAGAAGCGGCCCAGCCTCAGCCTGGCGTTGGGGCTGCTGCAGAGTGACCCTGAGATAGCGAGGGCTAATCCACAAATCAGGGAACTGGTGCGTGAAAGTGCCGCTTTAATGGCAGTGACTGAAGAAGACCGCCTGCCACTGGAGTCATCCAAGGACATTCCTAGCGTGTTGATTCACTCCAACAACATCCTGGCAATGGAGGATTTTCTGTTTTCTAGAAATCAACAATCAGCAGGGACATTGCTGATTCTGAAACAAGGATTGCAGGCTATCATACCTAGAGAGAACGCTAGGGCCGTTCTCACGGGACAGATTCCTTACACTGTGTTAGACGAAACAGGAATACGCCACTTTGAGCCTTTGCACGTATTCTCAGCCCTGAGGTTGCCTCGCCAAGCAGCGTATCACTTCTCAATATATTCTTGCCCCGTAGCTAAAGAAGAAGCTTCTTACACAGCTTCGTCTTCAACGCCTCAGAGTTCTTGTGAGGATTTAGGGATGTTGGACAGCTACCGGCGTCAGAGCGATACGACGACAGCTAGCCGACGGCGAGGGACTCTGGACAGTGTCGATGGTTCTACTCTGAACTACACGCGACTAAATGGAGACAGTGACACACAGAGTATCACCAGTGGGTACAACACACCTACAGCGAGGAATGGCAGTCGCTACAGCAGAAGATACGGGGATGATAGCTATGGTCGTTATAACGGCGAGAGGTCACTGACTCCCCTCAGTGGATACAGCACCCCAAAATCGAGATCAAATGACAATGGAGACAACGCCTCTGCTCTCAGGGTTAGAGGTTACGGAACGACTGTTCCTACTTACAGAAGCCTGAGTCGTAACAGATCATCTGTCAGAATGTTGGGGTCAGAGGTTAGTGATCTGAATATTGTTGGTATGAAAATAAGACGAGCTGAACTGACACGGGGACTGACTGATCCCAGTGGTCGCGCGGGATTGCGAGTTCGATTCCCTCGAGATAATAAATGTTTGTGTTGTTTTTCATCGCTGCATGCCATAATCTCCCCATTAAAATTTGAGGATCGTTTTGTGAAATCTCCCTACCCCATGGCAGATGAAACATGGCGTCTGAATTCGAATTTATGTCCAGAAGCGAGGGAACACGCGAAATCAGAAAGAAAAGAAAACATTGAGAAGGAAAAATTGACGCATATCGGCCTCGAAACTTCTGCATTGGCTGCAGAACACGAAAGGTTCAACATCGTTAATAAAAACGTCCACTATTGACCTTACTTAATCTGTCATTAATAAAAGTAATCTCGGCGAAAGATTTGTTCTTTCACGGCGCATGAATGTTACAGAGGCTACCTGGTCTTTGAAACATTGACTTTCTGCTCAACTTTAACACGACTGACCGCCCTAGAAAATTTCGGTGAGATTTCAGGTTTTCTTGTTGGCAGAAATGGATATGACTGTCTTCTGGAATGTTCCGAGAAGACATCCAATTACTTTAAAGGAGAATTTTATAAGGCAGTAATATGATCATGATTTTGTAATGATGAACGATAAAATTGGTGATAATATCGTCATCGGGTAGGCTTGTTGAGATCCAGGCACTGGATTTTCAGATTAATTTTTCTGGGTCATTTCAGGTAAACCAGTACACTTCACTCACAAATAGCTAATAAACTTCTTCTGGTGTCTTTATATAGATCACAGGAACTGTATTTTGATTCTATATCAAACCTTTATGGACCATTACACTGAATTTGTACTTTGATTCTATACCAAACCTTTATGGACCATTACACTGAATTATGCGTACAAACATTTACAGTGGAAGGCGTATACGTTTTACAAGCCTCGTTTGAACACGGATTTAATTTTATAGACCAGCACTATCGGTTTGACCCATCCACTTGCAAGACAACAATGCTACGATTTCTTTGTTTCCTGTTAAAAGTACATCCACCCATAATTCTGAGTTCGAAGGAAGACATAGTCGTCATAGTTGTCACACTGCCAGAACACAGCGGTTCCATATGATTGATGTTTTCTTTGCAGGTGTGCGACTTGTTCGTAGCGACGCAAAACTTTCAGGCGGATGACGTTGATGCCATATCCCTCAAGAAGGGAGACGCCGTGGAGGTTCTGGACACCGGCCCGGAGTCTGTCAAGTGAGTCATAGGTCTTCACAGAATGTCTCTGGACGTTGCATCTCTTTCAACTTTTTTTGCTCTAAGTGCATAAAATAGACGCATTATAGTGGCGTAGTCCGTCCGTGTGTTTTATCTGTAAACTTCTCAACTGATTTTGATAAAATTTTGTATTGGGAAGGTTTGGATTTTAAAAGTTGTTTTATACCTTTCTCTGAGTTCACGCCTAACGTCATATTTCTGAAAATTGGCTGAGGAAATGTTTATGTTGCATGAAATATACTTGTAATCTACTAGGGGCATCTTTTCGATATTGGTTGTATCTAACGAAATACAAAGGGAAAATGCTTTATTAAATGTGAGGACCTCACAATTTATTAGGTTTGTAAGCAACACAGTTATGCCTTTACGCACCATGGTTCTTGTAATATTGACCTGCTGTGCCACCAGTGGTTTATATTCTCATTAATGTGAGCCAAGCCAATGACGGATGCAAGGCAGCAAACAACGTATTTGGATATTTGTATGCTCCAGATTGGACCACATCTTTTATGAATAGACTTCCAGAGAGACAAAACTGAGTTGAGTAAAGACTACATATGAAGGGAAACAATTCCTCAACGGTGCTACAATAACGCACTGTTCTCGTAGAAATCTGCTTTTCTGTGAGCGCAGAAGGAATATTTGTCTAGTTAGCGCGGCCACTCACGGAAATGTAGTGATATGACGTATACGTATTCAGCACGACAGGTGGATTTCCGGATTATTGAAATGAAATAAATCCACCGCATTGTGGTTGCATTGAACTACTAGGGCTAGGTTGGTGTTTAACACAAGTTTGCGGAGTGTTTACAGAAACTGTTAATATGTAAAGATATCAGAATTGTAAAATTAACGACTGGTTGCGAGTTTATAAGTCATCTTTAATGACAAAGGTGAGAAACTCAGTTTGGAGCGTGTTTGTAAGTTCTGTGTTCACGAGAACCTTTAATCCTTTTGTTGTTGTTGCTGATTAATTTTACTTAAATGTTGCATCATTAACAGAAGTATCATCGCGAAGATTATCTGTAGCTGTTAGCTGAAGGAGCACAAAAACGTCGGTAGATGTAAACTTGGTGTTAAGCGAGGTTCCCTCCATCTTATATGTACGTGTTCTGTAATTGTAGTGAATGATTTCGTTGTATCTAAATTGGCATCAAATATTAATTTGAAATGTTTGTTTTGTATGGAATAGAAGAGAGCTTAGTCTATATGTGAACGATTTGGTGTATTGATTGATTGCTGTGTTTACAGTTTACACTGTTGAAACTGGTTATTCGCGACTACTTGAACGCACGAAGAAATTTAATTCAACACGTAAAATAAATGTTTAAGTAAACTTAACCTATTTCTTAGTAGTGGCATTTCTTAATCAGTTAATCAGCCAAATATGTTTGGCCTACTGGTGGAACTCAGCCAGGAATGTTTGAACTAATCAACGAAATGGGACTGACATTGCTCAAGTTCTTTCGAAATTTGTCCGCATTTTATTTATTTTATTTTGTTTTCTAAGATGATATTGGCCTTGCGATGGTCTGAACTCCTCTCGAGTAAAACCTACAGCTTGTCCTCTTCAATTGAGGCTGTCAGAGCTTGAATCGGGTTGCAGGAAACTGATAAACTCTTGCAAGGCCTTGGAGTGGTCTGATTCCCCGTATTAGGAGTTCGATCATAAGACTTAGAAGCAAAGATTTAGAAAACCTCTAAATTAAAGGAGAACAAGTCTCATATCGTGCTGTACCGCTAATATCATCTTCTACCCTCAATCGTAGTGTTGTTAAATGTAATGTAATGCAGTTCCTCAGTACAAATGTTAAACATAATTTGTGTTTCTATCTGAATCTAGGTAAGTGCAGGTAACTTAATTAATTTACTTTTCTTTCCAAAGGTGAATTGGATTTGACTATGTATACCATTGAGATTTGTAACCTAGGAGAGGTTACTGACAGAAGTTCACCAACACTGCAACAAATGTAATGGTATTTTTGAAGTCCTTGTCATTTCAGCCAAGGTGGAAACATTTTTGAGTTATTTTAAATAACGTGAGGCCGGAATTTTGGAAAAACTGTTATAAAATTCTTGTAGTGTTGAAGGATTTCCGTATGTGAATAAACTATTTTACATAAATTCTGTTAAAGTTGTCATATCCCTTTTGTTTCTTGTAATGGAACAGTGAATTTCTTTGTTTTCTTCCTTATGGGTGAACAGCAGAATTTTTATAATATTTTGTTTTAATAGTTAATCCGTCAGAAATTTTATTTATTTCATATGCCGATGACATTATTATATTTGTAGTGTTTGTTGGAGAATGTATGTGGAATATATCCCTCGAACTGTTTTTATTTATTTGTTTATTTGTCTTATAAATCTCCTGCTTTACTTTGTGTGTTGTAATTGACTGAGAAATGGTTTTCTTTTATATCTATATCGTAGTTATTTTGTATCCAGGTGTGGTTATCATTCCTTAATAATCATACCTACACACGCGCGAGGTATACATTTCATTACAGACGTCTTATATTCTTTCATCTTCAGTTGATCGAAAATTTATTTTTTTAGCCCATTACTACGAGTTTTATCAGAATTATTTGATGTTACGTTCCTTACTTAGTAGTATAATTGAAGAGTGTAGTGACATTTCTGTGTGCGTTTGCCCGTCACATGTCATTGTATGCATCCAATTAACCGTTTGAGTTCAAACTTGGTCACAGCCTTTTTTATTAAGCAAACTCAGCAACACGTGTTGTGAGGATGACGTCACTTCGTCATTTACGTGTTTTACGATGTGCAGAAAGGACTCGCTAAGCTGTTTGTCTGTCACGGCTGATACTGTGCCAAGGTCCCGCGAACCGCGGATTCCGGAGATACGTCGAAATAGCCCTGCTCCATTCCACCGCCGTTGCAATAAAAGCGTAAAATTGCAAAACACGAATAAAATTAATTTTGTATGTATTCATTGTAATCACAATGGCTCAGTTTTCCATTCTCATCAGTACTTCCAGACGAATGTAAAACTGTCTCTGGGCTTAATTTAAGACCAAGCAACGAAAACGTATGGGGGGAAGTGGAGAAATTGCTCCATGTATTCTCAGCTTCGGAACAGAATATTACCTTCAAACAGGCCAAGGTGCCTTAACATCCCTGTCAGTTCGTCATTTACAATGATCGTTGGTGTTACGTAACCTCAGCAGTTAATACAAGGTCGAATAACCAGACAAAAAGGATTGCAGAGGTAGACATTAATCCTGGCAGCAACCTTTTACAGAGGCTTGGACATGTCGACACAAATCCTGATAAGCATTTTGGCCGAAGAACAGATGTTCATGGAATGTAAGACACTTAAGAATGCTCATCTGGTTGTTCAGAGGAAGCGATCCAAGTCTTGGCCATGTCACTTGCTATTCTGACTGTAATTTACATGATTTTTCTCAGTCCCAGGTTTTATGGGACGTGACATGACAAAAGGTCACTATCGCTTCTGTTCGCTTTCCTCTGAATTTATAACATTTCTGCCATAGGAGTATATTATTCGTCGCTACTTAACCTCAGTAGTTGCTATGGTTTCGTTAAAGAACCTACGGACAAATTAATAAAATTACCTTCGCTTACGCTCCTCACAATTCCAGACAAAATAATGCACGTAGTTGTCAAAACGTATTATGATGTCACGTAGATATCGTCATGATTTTACTAATCTCGTTGAACGCAGTAAAGTTTCATCCGCATTCTTCGCCTCGATACGAGAGACGTCAGCTTCATCGTTCGTAGTCCTCAGGAACAAGCTGGACACGGTGATGGTAAAGTCAAAAGGCCCTATTGTTGCCAGGATTCAAACTCTGGCCATCCAGCCAGCACTTTGTCTCAGGTAATAGATATATACCCATATGCCCTCGGTGCAGTTAGTACGAGGAAGTGAGCCGTGTCCCAGCTGCAGTTTGTTGAACTTCTCGAGGTTATTTTTGTCTTTGAGGAAGAGAGAACAAGACAGTCTGTCAATTATGAATGTTTTGCCTGGCAACGCGGATCTTTTTATGTTCAGGTGCTATGACCTTCCATAAACACACCCAAACATTAATAAAGCATTAATGTTCCCGAGTCTTTCCTGGAATTGTACACATAAAGAGCGTTTCTAGCACCCGCGGGGATTTCTGAGAACTTGGTCCCACACCCAGGACTTGGGTCTAGTCTGGCAGTCTGAGATCTTCCGTCATTTTTTGAAGCAAGCACGCTTACAGTGCCTTAAAATAGGCCACAGAAGGCATTATTTATAATCATCATATCTTTTCTATGTCGATGTTATTGAACTCGCGCAATTGATAAAGCGTTGATAAGTAAAGGAAGGACGTAACTAATTTTGTACAAAGAAGTTTATTAGTGGTAGGAATGTTAATATGGTGATAGTGTACACAGACGACGTTAAGATTGCTTTTAAATGTGGCAGATCCTTGCATCACCGAGATGTGGCGTGTATTGGGCGAGTCACATGATAATCATATGAACAACAGCTGTATCTATTTTCTTTGGGAAATCAGCTGAGAAGAGATTACTTGGGAGACTTTCAGGCGTACATGGGAAGATATAATATTAAAATAAGCGTCGGATTGATTTTGATTGCACATATATTGTCAGGATGGGAGGTGGATGCAGGGATCTCATCAAGATCGTATTTTGACATCGGTGGTGTTGGGCCTTGGATTTCCGCTACCGGAGACGTTGTAGGCTAGTAGTAGTAGTTACTCCTGTTTACATTTTTACTGGTTATAATTGCCGTTTACGAACGATTGAATTCTATAGATCTTGAATTTTGAACCACGAATTATTTAGACGTTGCAGTACTTTGTTCCAGAAGGTTATATTTATTTTTATGTGCCTCCATAAATCCAAACCAAATCCACAAAAATAGGAAGTTACAAATTCAAGGGCTTCTAGTAAATAGAACAAGCATGAGGATGGATATTGCTACTGCTTAAAGACGCGACTACGTGAAAACAGAATATTTAACAAAAGGTTTGAACCCAAGAAAGATGAGGTAGGGCAGCAATCTAAGATACACAAGGAGCATCGTGAAAAATACAGGTCACGTGTTCAACGAACAGCGAAATGTGGAGACTACGTTGGAGCTGGGATGGAGAAACCTGTTTGAAAACTTCCACTTAGAAGACAGGATTGATATGGGAGGATACCAGGTGGATGGAACTAGCGTATGGCCATATTCAGTAGCAAAGTTTTCTATTAGCGGTGTTGAACTTGCGGGTTCTGCTGTCAGCATTTTCATTATCTGCGCCTATTTCATTTCCGGATGTTCATAAGAGAGCACTGGTAATTTGTTGTTGCTTTAAAAATTAAAGGCTTTAGGAAAGACTTTGCGTATAAACTTAATTATGTTCTCTGCTTAGAGGTCTACGCAGTTGCGTATGGCGGCGCGGAGGTAAACAGTTCTGTACGTGATTTCAGAACAGCACGGTGGTACCATCATTTCTGCTAATCCCTGAGAACTCACACACAGACATGCAAATTTCTTGAAGTTTTTCTCATTTTCTCGCTCTCTAGTAATGTCATTGAAGGATTATTAATTCTACTTTTGCCGTTGATACGTGTTGCAAAAAGAAATAGGCATGCAAGTGGCCATGTGTTTCATTCTGTCTATGTCGACCTATTGGCATCGCTAGTTCCATTGAGACATTGGCATGGGTGATTGTCAGAGTTGTTTCTGTATTGTCCCGAGATGGTAGAGGCCTTACAATGAGTGGTGTACTCCCCATTCAAGTAATCCTATTTACTGCCCTATTAAGGATTTAGTAAACCCCTGAAATACAGGAGACGAAGTCTCGAATCGGGCTGAAGAAATTGCTGAATTGACTGTAGACTGAGCACAACTGAAGAAGTCCTACCGCTTGGCCTAAAAGGATTTACAGAACATCTGCAGTAAAAGAGACCAAAATTTTAATCTTGAGACCTTGTGATGTTCTGATTCCCCATCTATGTAACTAAAGCTCTCGTGACGTTGACGTGACGTTACTAATCGTGGTTTGGATAATCGGAGAAAAATCTGGTGTACGATTAAGTCAGTACCTCCTGAATGAAGCCTACGTACTTGTGTACTTCCTGCATATGTTAACGCTCTGTATTCATCGCCATATTCCATATGTCTGACTGCATGTGTGCGGCTAAAATTATCGCGGGACTGAAATACCCCAACGGAGGGAGACGGGAGAGCCGAGTGTCGTACGCCAGAGCGTGAATCAGTTCCGGGTGTTGGGCGTCACGTTATTCTGTCTGACGTGTGTTCATGGGGTTTCGGATCGAGTCCCGGGCAAAGCTGCAGCAAATTTGGCTGCGAGTTTTTGTGATATTCTTCAGTCACACCATCCTAATACTGGGATAGCAGCATTTCGCTCCTTCTCTTCCCATTTCGCAGACATGAATCAACTCGTCAATTTACTAAGTGTTAAGTGACGTCTATGTTTAATACAACATCGTAAAATAAACTGGAGGGATGACAGTTTAAAAGAAATTGAAGCATTCACAGAATTGTATAACATAAAACAAGGACATTAGAAACGAATTGAACATACCGATATTTTATATTGTCAACAAGAATGGTAAAAGGACCTGAGATGACCAAGAAACAGATTAATCCGGAACATGTAATTGCCTGAATCTTTATAGACGATGACGAACGTTAATTAACAGAAACAACCCGCTGTTCACTGATACCATTGAGAATTTTAGAAGACGGTAATTAATGTGAATACAATATTTTTAACGTACCGGTATTGGACGTACATGTTCTATCAACTACGAGATTATGTTTTATGTCAAAATGTTGAGAACACTGATAGTCTGTATCCCAAAGTAAACTCTGTTCACAAGCACCGCACTCCGAAGGGCGTCCTCTCCTTTAGGGTTAGATTGACAGGAAACGGCAGCTTCAAACTCTGTCGCCTTTCCTCCTGTACCCACAGAGTTAGATCAGCTTGGTGCGAAGCCACTTTCATCTGTGCTGTCCTGTTGTTGCAGGAGGCTGCGTCTGGACCCCGACCTGGACCTAGGGACCGATGTAGCGGCCCTACTGGATAATTCCGCAGCGCGCCACAAGTTGGCCATCCGGCCGCGCAGGAAGCACGTGGACTCAAGGCAGGTGCAGCAGGAGGAGACCCGGTGAGTTCGCGCAGACAGTCCCTGGGAAGGAATGACGGGAAAGTACGGCAGGTCTGCCTTAAAGCAGGCCGCGTCACTGGCGACACATCGTGCCACACACACACCGCATCTCATTTGTGGCTATATCGATTCATCAAACAGAATTCATGAAACAGAATTTTACATTGTTCAAAACTGTAAGAAAATTTGCTTAATATTCGAAGCTCCATCACCGCACATTCCAGCGTCTTACTTGAAATAAAGCCAGTGCCATTACCAAGTTCGCACAGCCACCATGTTGGTATTATCGATGACAGGTAATTAAGTATAACGATGAGAATGCCATCTAACGCCGTTATACTGATACAGATTTTAATAAAAATCTGTTCCTTGCTTCAGTTATTCACGGAAACACGTGTACGTCATGACACTATTCGTATGCCTTGATTTTTAATACAGAAATGCCAAATGCTGTTTTGGAAGGATAGGACAGGTAGACCTACTAAGGTCAGGGGGATCATCCTCTACTGCGTCTCTTTGTTGACAGCTAATTCTGGGACCTGAACTCGTGGTTAGGAGCTGGTCATCTGGCAATCTGTCAGCCCTGTAAACGCCTCTTTAAGAGACATCGCGTTGAAGCCAGCCCGATTGCTATTGTGATGCCCGCCTTACACGGTCTTGAAGCGAACCCCGAACTGTACCAGTGACCGTCACACCAGCCAAGTCTGTCAGGGAAGCCATTCTTTGCATGCCTGTGGCTGATCCTTCCCACATCGACAGTATTTTCGTTTCGTGATTCTATCTCGGTGATTGTTACGTATTGCCTGGGTGTTGACAACGCGAATGTTTCAGCGCGTTTCAGAGATTCGAACGTAAAATTGTATGAGTAGTAGACGCATTTATTACGTGCAATGTTTCAGAAATCCGGCTTCATTCAGAACTTTATTGCATGGCGCAGTTTATTTCCAAGGACGCCATGTTAATATTGTCGATGTTGAAAAGATGGAGTTGTCGACTATGGCGCGGTGTTCATACAGAGATTTAGAAATATAACTCAAAAAGTAGCTTTTAGAGTGCAGTTACTGTTAACTCGCTGATGGGTTTCTGAAGGAGTGTTAAGTTTCCTCTGTGTTGTCGCGTAACCGCAACTATTTTTTTCAGGCTTTTACATTTACGCTGTAAGTAATCTTTTTGCCATGCATAATATCGTGCTTCGCCCTCACATTTCTTAAGCTGGCAGTTGTAACTTGCAGGATTCTAATTTTAGTTGCAGTTATGGAATGAAGAATTATGGAAACAAGTTAGCGTGGAGAAGGAGATGTGGCTGACACTACGCAAGAACGGCTGAAAGCTACAGTTTATGCTCTAACTGGAGTGTAAAAGGTCTCACGCCTTAATTTCGTGTTTATCAGCAGATTTATTTAGACGCATTACCAACCATAGACGTTTCCCAGCGACTAATGGCGGGATGATTATGAACTGGGAAAGGTGTGAACATGTCTATTTTAAGGTACTATCTCGACATGCCCACAGGCTTATCCCCGGTTTAAAATAGCAAAATGGCGGTTTTAGGAGACGAAGTTAGGTATCTAAGAAATATAGGCTGCAAACGGCTTCATCTCGCGATCTAAGTAATTGGTAATATCATGCTCGATTGATCTAGTGACGTTTTATCAGGTTCATAGTACAATAGCTATGGATGTGACCTGGATTGTTGATATTAAATTCGAAAGGATTTGATGGGAAGTGGCTAAGGTTTATTTTAAATTCTGTTTCACAATTTTTCGGGAGAAGAGTCACGGAAAACACGGGATATGGTGGTTTCTAGTGGGGGATATTCGAAACCTAGACCTCCCTAATATTACATCACGTCTGTTTAAGCATGCAGTCCGTACATCGAAGCTTAACTGGTCCAGTGAAAATTGGCAGAATAATTTTTTTTTAATTTTGAGGAATAAAATAAGATTTGATTATAAAATAGGCCCGCGCACAGTACTCTTGCTAGGGTTAAATTATTATAATTTTTAAGCCAAAACATTATTTATTTTGAGAGTCTTTAAAAATACCAAAACAAAGGACGCGCCTCAGCGTGGAGTACCCATTGCTGAAACGTAATTACGTGATGTTTAACCGTCGCATTGGCAGTTTTCTGCTTGGTGCTAATGCGTGTAGAGAATTTTGCCCCGCGAAATTCCTTCTCTTGCCAGATTATTTTGGTTCCTTATGTCTCGAAACATTCCTTAGTAGCGGCTCTCACTTGCCAGACAGAAGCAGGATCACTTTCAATCTAGTTCTAGTTTCTTCCCTGTTTTCCACTACTTTAAAACTGCGTCTTATAAGACAGCGTTCCGCCTTGAAGCGACAGCGGATGAGAATTGCTCATCTGATGCTTCGGCCTTCATTGTGAGATGTCCCGGAATTTGCTGTCACTTTATAAGCCCAGATACAGAAAATCAGAATGAACCAATATTCCTCGCTGTCAGTCCGCAGTTCTCATCTGTGTACAAGTTTGTAATCTCATAAGTTTTAGTCAGCGTCTCATTTAGAATTTCATTTCCGTAGGAGATTAAAAAAAAATAAACTTACGAAAATTATATTTCATTTAATCTACATTACTACTATACTATCTGAGAGTTCAGGTTATCACGACGGTGAGTACGAAGATGCTCATTTTCTGGGTTGTTGCGCCGTTTAGTCTGGTAGAAGTTGAGGTCCTTGCTGCCTCCATTGTCAGCACGGCTCCCTGTTGGTGGAGGCAGCAAGCAGTCTTTAGCTATGTTCTAATATGATAGAGGCCTTGAGATGGTATAATTTCCCGCCCAAGAAATTGTGCCTCTTGTTTTAATAAAGGGGAGAACAGACAGGACGCTAACAGGCGCAGTTTTGCAACGCTTAGTTACGAATGTCCCTAAAAATTTGTTCGAAAACTTGGGAGAGTAAGTGATAGGATGAATAGTTCACATTAAAATTTGCATCGGAAATCGCTTGTGACGGTATAAGGCGGCGGAGGATAGGACCCGGTGAAGACGGTGTTGCATGTGTGGATTGTGTAACAAGTACGGTGTTGACCAGCTAAGTAACTACTAAATCAGCTGCTCAGGTATTTGCTAGACGTACCATTGACGTGATGTCTGTATTTAATCCACTCTGATGGCACGCCTTCGATTCTGGCAGTATGCACTTGTCTAATTAGCTTCACCATAAATCACGCTTAACAGCCGAGTCTCCTGCTCAATTTAAGTGTCGCCACTTTAATGTAGTAGTTATATAATAATTCGGAGAGACATTTAGCAGGCCGAAAGAACTTTGACGAAATGACAAGTGTTTGACTAGTCTGGAATGCGACTTTCGTCTTGGCGTCTTTGTTGAGGACTTCACAAGGTTGATGAGCTTCTTGTA